TCTCTCTCTCTGTCTCTCTCTCTCTCTCTCTCTCTCTCTCTCTCTCTCTCTGTGTGTGTGTGTGTGTGTGTGTGTGTGTGTGTGTGTGTCTGACCAGGGTGTCACCATTTAGCTCTGGCTGACCTGGAATTGTTTGTGTAGACCAGGGTGGCACTGAACCCCCAGAGATCCCCCTGCCTTTGCCTCCCCGTCCCTGCATCTCCCAAGCATGGCTAACTCGTAACTCACCTTGCTGAGTGCACCTGTAGATAAAGTAGATGGAGACAAAGAGAAGGGAGATGCTGAGGCAGCTGAGGGTGGTAAGGAAGATGGGCTTGCTGTTGGATGGTCTGGGGGGAATTTCTCCACCTCCTCCCACTCCGTCTGCACATTGGAGACAGAAATGGCAGCCTCTGTGTCATGAGGCCATCCTGAGAGCGCGGGCTGACACAGCTGAAGAGGGCCGGACTGAGCCCGTCACAAGGGGAATTCCATGTGAGCATCTCACCCGCAGCCACGAATTTGGTCATTTATTGAGAACCGAGCCACAGAGTGAGTTTGCCACCCCAAAACGGTTGAGCAGAATGGCTAAGAGGCTCCAGGCACACGGGGTGTGGCGGCACACTCCGAGAATCCCAGCACTCCAGTCAGAGGTGGGAGGATTTTGAGTTCAAGCCCAGTCTGGACGATATAATAAGTTCCAGGGTAGCCTCAAGTGTGTAGTGAAATCCTGCCTGAAAATAAAAACAAAACAAAAGCAGGGAGCCTGGGACCCTAGTCACCAAACTGGTGGCACTGTCTCGGGTAGCTGTGGGACTTTTTGGACAAGGGATCTAGCCTGCTTAAGCAGGGCCGTGGGGTGGGGGAAGTTAGAAGGTTACAATCTAGTCCTACTTTCTGATTCAATTTCTCCGCTTTCTGGTCCAATGAGATATGAATAATCAAGTCCCCATTTTTAAAAATTATTAATTTTTTTTTCATTTTATGTTCCAACCCCAGCTGCCTCTGCCTCACCTTCTCCTGCTCCCTGCACCTCCCCTCCTTCCCCACAACCTGAATCAGGCTGTGCAAGGCATCCCACCATAGGGAATGGGCTCCAAAAAGTCAGTTCGTGCACTCTGGGTAAGTCCTGGTCCCACTGCCAAGCCCGCTCCATCCCAAACAGATCAAGCCACATAACTGTCACACACATGCAGGTCCCTCAGGTGTCAGTCCAGAGTCCGTGAGCTACAACTGGCTTGGGTTGGATGTCTCTGTGTTTTTTTTTTTTTCATCATGGTCTTGAGCCCCCCTTGCTCATATGATCTCTGGTCCCTCTCTTCACCTGAACTTCAGGAGCTTATCCCAGTGTTTGGTACACATTTTTTTTTTTTCTGAGGCAGGGTCTCTCCATGTACCCCTGGCTGGCCTGGAACTCACAGCGATGCACCTGCCTTCCGAGTGATGACTAAAGGCAGGCAGGCATCACCACATTTTGAATAACCAAATTGGCAATTCATTCTCTCTCTCTCTCTCTCTCTCTCTCTCTCTCTCTCTCTCCCCCCTCTCACTCCCCCCCTCCTTCTCACTATTTATTACTTAATAAACCCGTTCATTCAAAACAGAAAATATAGCTATCGTAGTTCATTCTTCAGAATGCACTGAACAAAAAGATGGGAAATTTTCTTCTATAATGTGATCAATTTGTGGGACTCTGATGTACAGAGTGGGTGTTGAGGGATGTGTTTAATTTGTAATAATCATTACACAATGTGCATCTTGAGTACAGTCTTCGTTAATTAAGGATTTTTTTTTAAATAAAAGAGAAAGCAGTCCACTATCCAAAACACAGTGTCTTAGTTAGGTTTTTATTGCTGTGAAGAGACACCATGACCATGGCGACTCTTACGAAGGAAAACATTTAATCGAGGGGGCTGACTTACAGTTTCAGAGGTTCAGTCTATTATCATGATGAAGGGGAGCATGGCGGCGTGCAGGCTGGAGTTGGGAATGCTACAACTTGCAGGCAACAGGAAGTCAACAGACTGTCACACTGAGGGAAGCTTGAACAAAAGAGATCTCAAAGCCCTAGGCCACAGTGGCACACTTCCTCCAACAAGGCCACCCCTCAAACCCCTACTAGTGCCCCTTCCTTTGGGGGGGAATTTCATTTCAAACCACCATATTCCACCCAAAAGCTTATAGCCATATCATAATGCAGAAAAAGAAAAAATGCATTCTGTCTAACTTCAAGTCTCCATAGTCTGTAACAGTCTCAAACTTGTTTCAAAGTCCAAAGTCTCTCCTAAGATGCACGGCCATCTCTTAACTGTAATCCCTTGCAAAAATCAAAATGAAAAACAGATCGCGTACTCCCAACACATAATGGTACAGGTATATCAAAATACAGGAAATACTCCACCAAAGCAAGACTGAAAACTGGCTGGGAAAATTCCAAACTCTGCAGCTCCAAGTATGATGTCAAAATGCCTGTGATCTTAGTCCTTGGGAGATGGAGGCAAAAGGATTGATCAAGGCTGCCCTTGACTATGTTAGGAGTTCAAGGCCAGCCTGGTCTACGGTTTTGAGCTTCCAAATTTGTGGTTATTTGCTATGCAGCTGTAGACGACTCATCACGATCACTCTCTATGCTTTTCTTCTTGAGATTTCATTTCTGACTGTCCTCTTCCTGAGTATCATGTTCACGGATGCTCCAATCACGTGAGCACTGCCTTGAAGTCCATTACTCATTATAGCCCTAATAGATTTTAATTCACTGTAATTAAACTACATGCACTCACATTTAGCTCTGAAACCCCAGTGATAAGTTGCTGCTTCTAAGCTGTGTGCTCTGGCTCATTGGGTATTCATCTTCAGATCTACCGACCTCACTGTACACCAGATTTTCTGCGAATTCACTCTTCTGAGACATTCATCTACCAGCCACATCATTGAGACCTATTTGGAATCCCTAGCCAGACCCTCGTCCCTGGCACGCAGCTCCCACTATCACAGTCCCCTCTGGGGTATTGCATCTTGATTGCTTCCTGGAGTCTCCAGCCAAGTTCCATTAGAAAAAGAGGAACATGTCCATGAAGGAACTGATCTGACCATTTGGGAAGAGAGTGAGTGGGAGGGGAACTTAGCGAGTGGTCAATAAAGCCAAGCAGTGATATATGTGAAGGAAAATGCCATTAAGTCCATCACTTTGTGTAAGAGATGCACAATAGTGCAAATTTAATTTAAAAAATTGGAGCAAGGCATGGTGGACATCTATAATCCCAGGGCTCAGGAGGCAGAGACAAGAGCATCAGGAGTTCAAGGCCATCCTTGACTACACAGTGAGTTCAAAGACAGCCTGGGCCAAGGCCAACTTTGTCATTATCATCATCAGTTATCAATATAATCAATTACATCTATTTACTAATTATTATAACAATTATTATAAAACTAAGAAGATGAAGATATAAATATGGTTAGTTATACATACAAATTATATAAAATGCAATTATAACTAATTATGTTCATAATTTTTTTTAACAAACCAGTGTTTTTTTTGGGGGGGGGTTAAGATTTTATTTATTTATTATGTATACAACATTCTGCTTCCATGTCTATCTGCACACCAGAAGAGGGCACCAGATCTCATAACGGATGGTTGTGAGCCACCATGTGGTTGCTGGGAATTGAACTCAGGACCTCTGGAAGAGCAGTCGGTGCTCTTAACCTCTGAGCCATCTCTCCAGCCCATGTTCATAATTATTATAGCACTATTATTTTAAAACCTAAGAAGCAAGACTAGGGAAATGACTTAGGACCAAGTATTAAGGACCTGAATTTAGATGCCCAGAACCCATGTAAAGTACAGTTGTCCCAGTACTCCCTCAGTGAGATGGGAGGTGGAGACTGAAAGCTTCCTGAAAGCCCTCGGGCCAGCTAGACTGGAGTAGACAGCAAAAAAAAAAAAAGAGAGAGAGACCCTGCCTCAAACAAGGCAGGGTGTGAAGACCACCATCCAAGACGGCCCTCTGATCGCCACGAGTGTGCCACGGCACCCTTGTGCCCACACCCACACACATGCACACATATGTCACATGGGCACA